GGTGTAACAGCGGTAAAAGTCTTGTAGTAGGCGACTTTAATGCACCATATATAAACTGGGTTAACTTAGAAGTGGGGTCATTGATATCGTCGTTCGACTGCAAACTGTTAGAAACCTCGATTGGACTAGCATTATTCCAACACATTAGAGATCCCACAAGATACGACTTAAGAAACTCTTCTCTTTTAGATTTAGTCTTCACACACGGTGATGACGTTGGTCAAACGGCTTTTCTCCCACCACTTGGGGGAAGTGACCATGCAGTCATCTTATTCAAATTCATGGTTGAGATTGCTTGTCAAACAATTGCACCGGCCCGTCCTAACATATGGAAGGCAGATATGCAGGCAAATAACTCCGCAGCATCGGCTGAGAACTAGGAAGTTGACTCACAGGCATCAGTACAAGAGGCATGGACTCTATTCAGGCAGTTATACAACCGGGTAACTCAACCATACATACCCTGGACTGTCCCAAAGAAAAAGAAGCACGGACATCCCTGGATAAGGCGGGATATTCGACGCTTACTAAGACAAAAAAAGAAATGCTGGGATGTTGCCATCCGCCTTGGCACAGCAGGTACGATGGAACGCTACAGATCGATAAGGAACGAGTGTATAACTAAAATTCGGGAAGCGCAAAAAAAATATGAAATGCAGCTGGCAGAATCTGCACTCAAGCAGCCCAAGAAGATATTCTCGTACATAAACTACAGAACAAGGATTCATCATTGGATTCCCAGCCTAATTAAAGTAGGAAGTGAATCTGAAATGATTGAGGAAGATCAGGAAAAAGCTGAGGTTATGGCTGACTACTTTGGGGCAGTTTTCACTCGGGAACCTCCTCTAGAGAAAGAACCAGACCCAATTACGGAGTTAACAAACCAGCTGCTCACCGTGGACTTCGCTCAAAACGATGTGCTTAAGGCTCTTAGCACCCTAAACATGGAGAAGTCAACAGGACCAGATGAATTACACCCTAAAATCTTGAAACATATTGCCCAATATATCGCAGCCCCACTGACTGTGATATTCAAAATGTCACTTGACCAAGGTGTGTTACCTGTGGACTGGAAGGACTCAATCGTCACTCCCATACACAAAACAGGTCTACGACAAGTTCCATCAAATTACAGACCCGTAAGCCTCACCAGTGTTGTAATTAAAATACTGGAAACAATAATCAAACGGACCATAACAGCATTTATGGAAACCAATAACTTGCTGAACATGGCACAACATGGTTTTAGAAAGGGTCTATCCTGTACAACGAACCTCTTTATAGTTAGGGAGCTCTGGATTAATGCGCTAGACAACGGAAACTCAGTGTATGTTGTCTACATAGACTTCAGTAAGGCTTTTGACAAGGTGCCAACTAATAGACTGCTATTGAAGTTGGCAAACCTTGGTATTGCTGGAACTCTTTTAAAATGGATTAAGGATTTCCTTGTAGGTCGTAGGCAAAAAGTAAGAATAAATTCCAAGTGCTCCATCTGGAGACCAGTACTTAGTGGAATACCCCAAGGTTCCGTCTTAGGTCCTTTACTTTTTATAATGTACGTTAATGATCTTACAAGTATAGTACAGTCTCCAATGTTATTATACGCTGACGATGTAAAAATTTGGCGAGTAATAACTGGAGACAAAGACGCATTTACTCTTCAGGCGGACTTAAATAATATGATAAACTGGCTAATGCCTATCAACTCGGAAAAGTGTGTCTACATGCACTTGGGGGATTCAAAGGTTAATACGTACAACATAGGGGATGTGTCATTACCCGTAGTCCGGTCTCATAAGGACCTAGGGGTGACAGTGAGCAATGATCTTAAGACGACGGCCCACTGCCGGGAGGTCGCAGTTAAGGGGTTTCGAACTCTCTGGGCTTTAAAAAGGACATTCACTAAGCTTGAAACTACCATGTTCAACACATTATACATATCCTTAGTGAGAACTAAGTTAGAGAACTGTGTTCAGGCTGCAAGCTTCTGTTTAAAAGGTGACTTAGACATACTAGAAAGGGTACAGAGGGCAGCTACGCGTGCAATTCCGGAACTCCGGGGTTTATCATATAAAGAGCGGCTTGAAAAACTGAACCTCTTTACTCTGTCCTATCGCAGACTAAGAGAAGATCTAATATTGATGTACGGAATACTGAGAAATGATTTCGGACCTAACTTATTCTCTCTCTTTCTTCCCACTAGATCGGGACACCTCAGAGGACATAGCAGGCGAAAAGAAAAGCCAAGAACGAACAAAATACCCGTGGCATACAGGTTTTCACACCGAGTCATCAATACTTGGAACCTACTGCCTGAAGCAGTGGTGTCCGCACCTTCAATTGACTCTTTCAAGAAAAGACTGGACACTCACAGAAGCATACTAGAAAAGGAATAACATAGGCCGTAGGCCTTCCGTCCTTACTAAACAAATCTGAATCTGATATTTACTATCGTAAAGAATGTTACACAAAGACAAGCATTGGAGAAACTACAGTCTTACCTCCTTATTGATAATTCTTAAGCAAAAATTGGCTTCACGGAATCTGTACACAATTTTTGCTTCGTCCTCAGGTTGATAAGTTACGAAGCAACAATCGATCCAACTTGTATACTACATGAGAGAGGGAGTTAAATCAATGTTCTTCTCTAGGATTTTGTGGTTTCGCTGCAGCAAAAGACCACGAAAATATGAGAACACCTAATATTTGTCCTACCCAACGGACACCCAACAAACACACAGTAATCGAAATACAGATTGACCTCCTCTTGCCAGGCTGTTCAAGGTCGTTTAAACGAAACGGCGGTCGACTCTCAAAAGAGCTAACGTGTTACAGGTATGGTCACAGGATTACTGTCGTCCATTCACTCATTGTTTTTATTTAATTAACATACCATGTGCACTCATAGATTTTATTTTTGCCTTCGTTTTCAATTTATTTTTGATATACTTTACTTCGGATTACGAACCGTATTTGGAAATAATGATTATTTATCATAATTGTAGATCTCATGGTCAAAAACCAAAGCCTCTGCATCTGACAATGAAAGTAATGTCCGGAAATTTTTATGTGCGATTTGCGTTTTTGTATATTATTAAGTACTCTACATTTTCTGTGATAAATCAATTAGTTTCCTCTTATTGATATTTTTGGTCGTCGACATAACTTGTACAGTACTTTCAAAGAAGTCGGAGTTCGCAATTCGTTTTCAATTTGGTCGACATTTGTATGGCCTATGATGCATCCCTAAAGTGAGTCTAAGATGACCTTTAATCAAATTTAAGGAATGTAAATACTCTTACGGGAGATTGTATTTTAAAGTACTTGATGTGACTCAGTGATTAATCACGGGTGTTTAGTGAAGCTAGATAGTATTCTTCCTCTCACTGTAAACACCAAACCTAAGTTTCCCAAATTCGTAAACAAAAGGTTGGCAAAGCACTGCATTGTAACTCATGTCATTACGTGAAAACCCTTACTCAGAACTCCAGGTTGCCTCATTGTGACTGTGACTGACAGACGATATATTAACTTTAAAAAATCTTTGCTATGGTCAAAAATCGGCTACAAATTAGTGAGAAATTAGAGTCTGGGTTTTTCGATGATGTATTGCCATTATTTATGATTCCTAAATGCTAATTAGCCATATAGATGAGTAAATTTTGCTCCAAAGTACAGGAATCATTACGGCGAGACTATAATTCTTGGACAAACCAATCTGATTTAGGATGAAATGTTTTAGATTAAGGTGCGAAATTCACCCACCCATTTGACCAAATGGTGTCTTGGCATTTTAGTTTGTGTCAGTTCGTGATGAAAAACTATAAATGCAGTTCCTAACCTTAACTACCAATTGTGAATCATAATCCTTATTCTGCAAACTGTTTCATAACCCTCATCTAGCCCTAATAAGTAGGTAGACACCCCCAGGGTCACGGTGTCACTCACAGGTCATCCATAAATTATGGTCACACCGACGAAGTCAAAATAACTTTGACAGATTTCTAACCAATCAGAGAACACGTTGTGTAAATGAATATTTCATGGCAAAATAAATGGCGATGCGAAGGTTAAATAAATTCACATTGTCAGTCCAATAATTTCGATAGTAGTCTTTTAGAGCTGGACTGACCGAATAGCCCTCTTTTATCTCTTCTGGTAATCCATTCATCTTTATGTCTACGTAGCATTTTTCTATTATAGTTTATACCAGTTCAGGCTGAAAACTAACATTTGACCCGTAATCTTAATTCTAATGCCAAATTTTAACTAGGGACATTGTAAGGACCCCCAAGTCTTTTCGGGTCACTTTTATGGTTTAAGAAGACAGATAGTTGATGAGATTAATCCAACGTATGAACGATACCAAAGTGCTCTTGAGAAACTGTATTCACTTGCCATGGTCGAAAGGGGGTTTTAAATCTGTATGAAGAACTAGAATTCAGAGTTCAAACTTGAGGCTAAGGTTCGGGACTAAAATTTTTTTTGACACAGCATGATATTAGCTAAAGTGCCTAAGTGCTAGTCGACTGTATTAATCTACTAATTTCGCGCCGAGACTCCAGAGTTCCCGTTCTAGATTTGATTCCTCTATCCGTAAGTTAAAGTACTTCTGGCTGGTCCCTATTCTATACCTTTACCCACCACCTACTGCTAATTCACACTATGGCTAGCCTTCACATCAGGTATTTTGTATGCACTTATATTTTTTTCAAACGATTTTAGAATAATCGCAAAAGTTACATAGCGTTTACTTATTCGTAATCCGGTAGCATAATTTTTCTTCACTTCTCATCCCATTCATGGTCTTAGCGACTAATAAAGATGACATAGCTCCCCAGACAACGCATTTGGTTTTTTTCGCCGAATTTGAGATATCTAATTTCCGATTGTATTGAATCTGTGTTCTATCACTTTTCCATAAAGTTGAATTAAAAGAAAATCTGTTTTTACCCAATCTTTACTTTCTGTATTTTCCGTTTCTATTGTATATCACGTAGATGGACATAAATTGCATCATCCAGTCAACAGAAAATCTTCATCTGAATTCGAGTGAACAGAGCAGCAAAAATCTATGCATCAGTGATGATGATTTTAAAAATACAGCTAATTATCTGCTAGGCGATGAATTTGAAAAATCATGGGATACAAACAAGTTGAGTCTTCCTCCTAAAGCATCGCCATTATTCTGCTACAAAGTCTGTAGTGAGCAAAGCTTGTCTGTGGGCGATCATGCTTTTGGTTTTCCTCCTCTTTCACGTAGCGACGTTATGCCCGTACAGTTCACTCACCTCAAATGTCTTACAAAAGGAAACTCGAAAACCGTTTATCAGTAAGGTTATTAACGTTGAAGAATTTATTAATTTCAACCAACATTGTTCATTATCCAACTTCAACCTATCCTATTTTCATGACCTACTTCTTCACTAAATCTGGTTAGTCTCTTGCTAGACGTTGTGCAACACAAAAGCATTCCTTTTTCACTTTTCTGTAGTAGTTTTTTAAAGATTGTGTTTGTCAAGTTGAACGTTATAGTCATACGTCTGTAATACTGCTGCAAACAGATGTATAATACTTCAATTTGTTCTTAGTATTTAATAATCTACTTGCGAGTCATCTGTCTGACTAATAACTACTCTCAATAAAGAATGCCTTGCGATATAGTTCAATGACCTTACCTTTCTGTAACCAAGTACATGTCAACTTAATCAGCTATGTGCCAAACACCGTTTCAAAATAAAGTAACTTTGAAAGCAGTGGTTAGGTCAAAGGTGGTAATATATAAGGGAAAGATTGCATATAGAGATATAGTACAAGAAGAAAAAATTGGTTCGTAGAAAGAAAGGTATGAAGCGATTTTAATCTCTTAGTTTAAGGGAAGACAGGGAGTGTATACGCCGACGCCATTGTGATCGACTCTGAGCCATGTCACCAAGAGTCTCCAACCATTGGTTACGATAGTCACGCGGACCTCAACAAAGTAGTCTGCAACTACCAACATGACTCAGACAAGGAGTTAGTGACTTCAAACACTGATACCACGTTTTGATTTGGCCGCCCCTAGCCTTCTTCCAACCGTCTTCAACACTAGTTAGCATAGAGCGTCGTGATAATCGGTATTCAGGCATACGCAACACGTGGCCCAACCATCTCAGTCGATGAAGATTCATAACCTCATCAACCGATTTACCATCATTTCCTAATACCCTGCGTCTAACCTCACTATTACTTACCCGGTGATCCCAGCAGACGCCAGCAATATTTCTAAGACATCTGTGGTCAAATACTAGTAGCTTACGAGTGTCTTCGACTCTTAATGGCCATGTTTCGCTGCCGTAAATTAAAACAGAACGGACTGCCGCGCAGTATACTCGTCCTTTTATTGATAGACGGATATCTCGCCTTCGCCACAGGTGACGTAAGTTGGCAAAAGCCAAACGAGCTTTTCAAATCCGTGCTGAGATTTCGTCAGACACCAACCCATTAGGGCTGATCAGACTTCCAAGATAAGTGAAGTTGTCAACGCGTTCGACTACTCCACTCCCTATCCTTAGTTCAGGTGTTAACGCAGACCAGTCCTGAAGCAACAACTTGCATTTAGAGGGGAATTAGCTGTCACTGTGCTAATGTTACACTCAAGACAAATTTCACGTCTTTCAAATAAATCACTCAATAAATAAGGTGAATCTCAACTCAGTTTTGAGCTGTTCTGGTTTTATCTGTACTGCGCACATTAATCGACCACTTAGTTATAATCAACCTAAGCCTTAAACCTGACTGAATTCTATCTATCACGTATTTTTCGCCTTGTACAAGTGTCCTTAATGTTATGTTGTTAAGGGTATTCAGCAGGAAACTGTGGATCTAGGTTTTGTGTGTAGTTGAGCAACAAGTGACGATTAACACAAAATTGAAATCCAAGACCTGCTAATTGCCCCTAACCACCTCATGCTATAACATTAATACGAAACATTTCTCAATGATTTCCAATTTTTTCAAGTGTTTTTTTTTTCATTATTTTACAGAGCGACTTTAAAACTTAAGTCTGGAAAGACATTGGATTACCGTCCAGGTGATAGCATCTCCATATTACCTGAAAATAATGCACAAACTGTGGCGTGGTTGTTACAGCGTTTAACACTGGATAGTCTACATGATGCCGATACACTTTTCACTCATGAAGTAATAGCTACAAAGCATAGAAGCCTCCCTGAATGGTCTCATTTTACTTGTCCACTTTCATTACGATATTTGTTGACATATTGCTGTGAACTGTATATACCCGTAACACGTCGGATTTTACGATTGCTAGCAGATTATTGTTTTGATGACAATGTCAGCCCTGTCAGTGCAGAAAGACAACGTAACCGACTTTTTGAATTCTCCAGTGCCGAAGGGAAGAAAATGTTTGAAAAGTAAGTATAATATTTACAACCATTCTTCTCGAAGATAGACCAGTCTATAACCGAAAGCAAAAGTAGGTTAATGTTCCTATGCATGGAGAAACATCAATGAACTAAACAAAAAAGAATCAAGAAATATATAGAAGTTGGAAGGATGAATGACGTTTATTGAATGTACCACAATAAGCTTTAGTTATCTCAGTAGACGTCGTTATAAACTAATCCCCAGTGTCCTAGTGCAAGTTTCCATCCATAGATTTATCATGGTAGGACTTGTTATCGAATATTCAAACCCACTTTTTTGGAAATAGTGTTAAGGTGATAGTATCAAACTAATGATTTTTTCCTCAGTCCTAGTTCACAATACATTTAAAGTAACTAAACTTAATAAGGTTAATGTTTGTAAGCAATCTACTTACTTACTACTTAAAATATCAACATATTATGGCTGTCTACCAGTTTGTTTTAATCTTTTCTTTTCAGGTATATCCAAATACCTGATCTTAATCTCTTGGATATTTTGTCTATATTTTCATGTTGCCGACCATCATTTATTCGATTGTTGGAAATTCTTCCAACACTTCAGCCACGTTCATATACACTCATTAATCCAGTTAATAAACAATTGTCTTGTGAACAAGAACTATCTTTTATTTTCACTAGAGTGGATTTTAAATATCCTGAAATTGATAAGCATGTAAGTCTTATTGATCGTTATCCATCACGACGTCATGGCACTTGTACCGGTTGGCTTGAAAAAATATGGTTTGGAGTTAATCAACCTGATGACTATCAGAAAGTTAATTTCAACAATGTCGAACCTCAGATTATATATATATATTTACGTAAAAATATTACACAATTTTATTTACCAGATAATATCTCCCAACCAGTTATCATGATTGCTGCCGGAAGTGGAATCGCACCATTTATTAGCTTTATAAGACAACGTAAAATCGATAACCTTAAGGTGAGATATTTATTTATTCTTATACGAATATTCGTCAAGATTAGAACGAACAGTTTAACAGAATTTGGGCACCGAGTACAGTGAAGACATTTTATTTTGAAATTATGTTCGAAATAATCTCAGCAATTGAAATTTAAAATAATTCCAACGTTTCGTCCAGCTAACTTGTCCAAACTTCTTCAGGATTATGATTAAAATCAAAATTACCAAAGAAATATATAGCGTTGTAACGATCAAGTCAAATCTATACTATGCTTAATCTAATCATATTTAGATGCTGATTTTTAGTAAATAGGATAACACGAGTCAGTTACATGGGAATCATGTGAAAAGTTCACGACGTGAAAATAAATGACAAACGAATTATCTGTGTGTATGTGTGTGTAAGATTGAATTATTAATGAATAACACTCGGTGTTAATATGTTTTTATATGAAGGAGAAATAAAGGTACAAGTTGAAGGTTGAAAAAGTCGTTTCTGAATCATTGAAGTGCAAGTAAAATGAGAATAATGAAATACATAATCGTATCGCTAAAAATAATTCACATTAATTTCAGTCAAAATAACGATGCATGTGAAATAAACAGGTTAAATAAAGAAAGGGTCCAATTACTTGTCAACGAATATTTGCCAAGTAGTCGATAGTTGAATACCATCCTTTTGGTTCAGACTGTTCTTGTTCACCCATATATACAGCGCTTCTGCTGTCAATCTTTCTTTATGAGTGTTAAAGCCTTTCTGAAGTATCTTGGTCCCTTCAAAATTAGTCTTGTGTCCTGTTTCTAACGCACGTAACGCGATCGCAGACTTATTCTCAAGGTTCTTTAGTCAACCGAGGATTTGGAAACATTTTTCAAACACTGTTTATGTTCCTTCAACCTTAAATTCAATTATCTGGATGTTTCTCCCACATAAGCTGCATTACAGTCATGACAGTTGATCTCATAGACAATATTTCGTTTTTCTTCATTTGGGACCCTATCTTTAACTTCAACTAATGCTGATCTTATGGTGTCACATGCCCGAAAATACACTCTTACATCATGCTTGTTAAGAATCCGCTTGATTTCTTCCGATGTTTCACTACGGTATAGGATGACCACTGTGGACTTCCAATCTTTCAGTATACATTCTAGTTTAATTTTTCTTTCATTTCTAACAATCATTAAAAACTCTTTTGGGTAGTTGTTATCCCTAATTGTAGACAATACTCTATTCCATTCAACTTGTTGGTCTTCCTTATCTGTAACTAGCCTAATACTTCTGTTCATTAAGTTTTTTACAACATTGACTTTCGTACACTGCGCATGAGCCGAACCATAATCTAAGTATCTCTCAGAATGTGTTGATTTCCTGAATACATTTATTTTCAACTTCTTATGATTGTCTTCGTTCAACCAAACAATCGTGAAACGCTAGTTTGTGGTCAACGGATTCAACTTCCTTCGTTAGCTTAATGCTTTCCGAAATGATGTTTACATTTTCAAACAATTCTTTTGAGCCATCCCGTTTAATGATAATAAGAATGTCATCTACATACCATAACCAGACCTTTGGTGGGCATACACATCTTGTGATTGCACTGGTTTCTAGAGAATGCATAAATAAATTCGCTACAATCGGAGAAACTGGTGAATTCATTGCTATACCTTCTTTCTGTCTGTAAAGGTCTCCTCGAAATGTAAATAAGGTGGATCTTAAGCATAATTCCAAACATTTAATAACTTCAGATGGATCTAATAGGCATCGTAAATTCATATCTGAGTCAGACTCTAAACAATCATAAATAATATCCAACTCTCTATTGACAGGTAAATTAGTGAATAAGGAAGATACATCAAAACTTGCCAATATCTCATCCTCTTCTACATAGATGGTATCGATAATCTTGAATTCCATAGAGTTTTTAATTTCATGATTATTCAGTTTGTCATACGGTTTAAGTATCTTAGCGAAGTATTTCGCTAGATTGTACGTCGGTGAATTTGTAAAATCAACCACTGGTCTTAGTGGAGTATTATTCTTGTGAATCTTTGGAAGTCTATAGAATCTACAAGGTTTACAACTCTTTGGTTATAACATAAACCATAATGTCGATTTTACTTTAACCTTTAACGACTGTAAGACTTTACTGGTTTCAGCCTTAAGTTTATTAAGCGTTGTCCTACTTGTTTTTTTTTAATTTGTTCATACGGGCCTCTTGTAGATGTTCCCTGGTTTTTTTCTCGTAGTCCGTTTTGTTCATAATAACTGTCATGTTCCCTTTATCTGCTCTCGTAATGATAATTGTCTTATCACTTCTTAGCTGTTTTAATGCATATAATTCATTTTTAGTTATATTGGAGTTGTGTGATTTCTGATGTAATATCATGGTCATTATTTTATTCCTCAATTCATTCGCTGTTTCACTCGGAAGATAATATTAAAAGGCGTTAATTTTGGTCTATTTATATTGAAATTGAGACACCTTTTGAGTAATGATATTTCGTGGGAATTAAGAATTCTATCAGATAAATTAACGATCAGTTTGCTAAAATCCAGTGTGTTTGATTTATTTTTAGTCTGTTGAACTTTGTTGTTTGATGCATGTTTCAACATGATTTCGAACTTTCTACTCTGCCGTTGTTTTGACGACTGGTGATAAAACTGTTCTCTGTGTTTGAAAAATTCATTTATATTTGATCTTACATACCTAGCAGCTACTAACAGCATTTTTTCCGTCATAGGTAGATTTTCGTAATGTTTGTGATGGTTACATAACTTTTATTACAGTTTATTAGTAGTTTGGCGTAGTTGTTGATCACAACCTGGAAGAATGTTCAGTCAGCAAAATGTGGTTATTTGTAACAATGCGAACTCAAGCTAGTGAAATTCATCATTTATCAAGTCAAAAATAGACCACATTCAGGGTTTTATGCAAAAGGGCTCTAAAACCTTTTACATATGACTTCCCTCCCTAATTATGGTGGTGATGAACGTAGATGTCGGTAGTTGTTTATGAAATGTAGCTTAGTGCAATTAAGCGTTAAACTATTTATGAATATTATATAATTTGATCATATTCAGCCATAACACAATTCTGTCCATTATAAGTATCGTCGTTTTTGACTGAACTGACACATTCATATGTAACATATCTGAGAAAAAAATATCAGTAACAGATGACGTTGATTGCTTTTTCTGCCCGTTTATGAACATATACAGGAACTGTGCATAAAATTACTGTAAGAGCCACATTAATTAGTCACATATTCCCCATAAGTAAAGCAATGCGTGTTTGTTTTGAGCGCGGAAACTAAACCATGTTGTAGTTGTTGCAGTTTATGATGTGCCTGTTATATTGTTTACGAATGAATTTCTGTAAATAAAATCCGTGTAACGGAAAGAAAACGATGAAAAAATCCTTTCACAGCCTTTTTGTTGGACAGTGCTGTCATTTATTTGTTTCTTCTCTCTGTCGTGCATTTTAACCTTTGTTCAGATCTCGTTTAATCACGCCTTTTGTTCTTCAGTCTTCATCGTCTGAGCTCTTATTACGTGATTTGATTAAAGACTTATCTTTTGTTACCTGATTTTCTATTGCATGTTGCCGGACTATTGACAGTATGGTCGTGTTTGACTAGGCTCAAGGTGACGGCGTGATTCAGCGTGTAACTGTTAACCTTTTGACTGTCTGCCTGGGAGGATTGCTGGAATCCCTGCAGATAGATATTTGATCCCATTTTGTTGGGAATATTTTTGTTGATTCTCAGGTATCGAACCCTTTGGTATTAACTGTTTCTTTTATTGTGTTAGCGCGCTACTTTGCGTTAAAGAAAGTCCTGACTGTATAGCACAGGTTGTACCGTTTGAGGTATTTTGTATTTTTGATATAATTTGTTCTGTTTTCTAAATTAGAACCGTTTAAATTGAGCACAGAGTTTGTGTTTTGATATGATATAATATAATACGAGTGTCTCAAGAACGCCTTGTAAGCTATACAGAAGAAAGTAGTCTGGCCTATTCGAATAAATTTTGGTTCGTCAGTCCTGCGTTCAAACCGAATAGTGGCAATTCGGTCGTTACAGTTCTCAAACGAACAGTAATTACTAGTGTTAAACACTGCAATGCCTGGCGTTTTACTTGCACTTCAATGATTCAGAAACGACTTTTTCAACCTTCAACTTGTACCTTTATTTCTCCTTCATATAAAAACATATTAACACCGAGTGTTATTCATTAATAATTCAATCTTACACACACATACACACAGATAATTCGTTTGTCATTTATTTTCACGTCGTGAACTTTTCACATGATTCCCATGTAACTGACTCGTGTTATCCTATTTACTAAAAATCAGCATCTAAATATGATTAGATTAAGCATAGTATAGATTTGACTTGATCGTTACAACGCTATATATTTCTTTGGTAATTTTGATTTTAATCATAATCCTGAAGAAGTTTGGACAAGTTAGATGGACGAAACGTTGGAATTATTTTAAATTTCAATTGCTGAGATTATTTGAAAGATAATTTTCACATCGAATTGTTATTCTTATTCTGGTAATATGAATTTACACAAATTATGCCTTTTGTGCATTTTACTAATTTGTGTTGTGTCAAACTACTCAGTGAATTTTACTTCAGTTTTTAAACCTATAATAACGTCAATCTTTATGAGAAACGAAATATAGCTCCGTGTACTCGAATTTTAGCCATGAATAACGGGTGACTGTCTCTCTGACTGAACTACTAAAGTTTCCAGGTGTTTTCTATTCCTGTTTATTAACCGGAAATTTCCAACAATTTGAACGGTTACTGCTTATTAGTTTCATACTAATCCTGAATGATGCAATCCTATTATAATTCTTTTAGTATTGAAAAAATCAGGCATAATTTAAACCTTAACTTTTAGTGCATTGTACAAATAAACAGAACCTTTAAATATGATAAATATTTGTTTACAATGTATTAGTAGTTGTGTGTTGAATTAAGTAATCATGTTATCGCATCATTTCCCATGTGACCAGTTTTTCCATAGAAATCCTCATAATAAGATCCAGTACATCCATTCAACTGATCATATCCAAATGCAATAAAACTCGTATTAAATCAACTTGCTTAAAATATTAACTGATTTGGATACGTGCAACTCCATAACTTTTGTATTGTGATCTTGTTTCAGGAAAATACCTCTACTGGAGATTTGTGGCTAATCTATGGTTGTCGTTCTCCAACGTCTAGTCTCCTATTTGAAAATGAACTATCAGATGCAGTAAATTCTAAAGTATTGAAACATCTTTGCTTGTGTTTTTCAAGAGATACTGTAAATTCTCCGGATGAAAAATATGCACTTAAAGAAATTTCGTCAATATTAATTGAACAAGCCTGTTTTCCGCTCAAAGCACAGTATGTTCAAGATTGTATCCTTTGTAAACATTCTACTGATTATGAGGTATCCGAGCATGATATTCAACTGATGAATCTTGTTTTCGAAAAAGGTGCTAAAATAATGATTTGTGGAGGACCACGTGCTTTAGCTTTTGGAGTATATGAGTCGTGGCTGAGACTACTTGCTATGCGACTTTATTTTGAACGAACACAGAAATGGTGTAAATATTCGGCCATACCTGAAGAGGATTTTATAAATGCTCGGGCATATGTAGATATAATGCGTAAAGCAGAACGATTTCAAGAAGATGTATGGGCTTAACAAAAAAATCCTACTTATGATATTTTTACTGTAAATTATTCGTCTATTAATATTTCTTCTTTGCATATATTCCAGTGTGTATAATGTTGTATATTAAACTGTATCACTAAAACGTCCTTTTTCTACAACTTAAACTGAGGGTCACAGGCAAGAGTTACGAATAAAATTATGTGTATATTTAATAACTTTGAAAAATGTTTGTACTGTATCACAAACTGATTGATATCAACCTATCGTGCTAAGAAGAGTTTGTTTATTATGACATCTGGATTTGCTACTAAGGTGATTATTAATCCATGATAAAAATACACATTATAAAGTAATAAATAGTTCTTCATTTCTCCTATCTGAAATCAATCAAAGATTTCTTTCAGATTCATAAGTTAACTCATCAACAGTGCAGTATATGGTACGAGTGTGTGTGTTTGTTTGGATTTCCTTATCAGTTTTAAAAATCCTTTTGGAATGTTTCTAATCGGAATATTCCTTTTTTTTTAAAATTTATATAAATAAAAGGATAAATTTATCTAATTTCCTGCTTCAGTTTGGGCGCTCGGGCAGTATTCCAACCTTTACTAGGTTTCAAACATATTCTGTCTCGTGTTATGATCTTCAGTTGGATTTTTTGAATTGCATATAGTAGATTTTTTAACTGAACAAAACTTTTCCAGTAATCCTTTAATGATTCCCTTTCATAAGGTACATTTAAGGTAATAAATGAACATATTAAATTCATAAATCTAAACTTGTTAGATGCTTTTTTTCATTTATTTCGTATAAAAGTTTACATAAGAATCATCCTATCCGTTTTTTGTCTGATATAATCACATGTATAAATTTCATAAAATTTGGTGAAATAGTAATCAAAGTGTAAAACTGTCGAAGAAATAACAAACGGTCAATGGAACAATATTTCATATAACTATCTGAAAAGCAGCTTATAGGAAATTTTAACAGAACTATAATCAATAATCATCTCTTTCTTGATAAGCCGTACGATCTCGACTGACTGAAGTACCCGGGTAATATGTTGCTCCTAAACTAAAAGATTAAATTCAAGAGAGAAGTATTATTTCGAAGTTGAGAATTTTGAAATTATTTTAAAAAATAAAGTAAACTACTCAAAATCTGTGCTGACTTGTCTAAGGGTATTGTATTTATGGGACGATCTGAAGATCCTGGGCTTAATTCTATGTGGAGTCGTCAATGCTCGCTCCTGAAGCATTGCAACGCAAGATGAACAGTTATGTGGTTCTACCTGACTACCGAAGATTCCGCAACTGATGTCGATTCCTGACAAAATCGATCTTCAAAAAAATGGTCAAAGATCCACACAAATCCTCATTTTCTCAAGTTAAAGTTATAGTTTACCATCATCTCACAAAAGATCACTATTTCTCAATGCTGATTATTTTTAGACTGAGAGGAAGCAAAGATCTAATGGTTCTCTGGTGTTCAAATGTTTATATGACTGCCGCATGATGAAGACTAACCTCAAAATCCTTTACGTTGAAATATTCTTTTCGTAGCTTATTTACTAGATGTTTTCGATTTATTCACCAGGGCTAGACGTCTTTTTTCTTCACTGAATGTTTCCCACATTTCTTTGTCATTTAGCATATCGGGTGAAACTAAGTTGTGATTAACTGCTGATTAAAGAGAGACACATCCAGATACACTTACTGTAAGTGACAACCTTACATTATTAGCTATTCCTCTCGCTAACTTCGTTTTGTGTACTTCTCAATCGTTGGTTCAGAAATGAATTTAAGCGTTATGCAACCAGGTGCCTAGTTTAATGATTGATTGATTTAATATAGTATCCATTGTGAGATTGAAGAGATTCCCTATTTTCATCGTAAAATATGTGTTATCTCATTCCTAGTGATTAGTGTTTTTTTGTCTCAATCACTTCATCTATTTGTTCTTTTTTGAATTATCAATACATCAGACGTTCATAACGTAGTTACATTTGTCGACCATATACATAATCAGTTAGAATAAAAGATGAGTGAAATGCTAATCGAAAATTGTGAAAAAAGTATTAATATGAAGATCCGATCGTGAAAAACACCTTGAAATGTACTGTACAATTTCAAAGGGTGATAATAAACTAACCAGATGTGTATAAATTTAGGAGGCTTTGGTTAAGAATACGGTGAATCTTCTTATAAAACATCTGTAGACGAATCTGGCTTGAAATTATTCATAAATATACCGATGTATGCAAGGGAACAACCAGCTTAGTGGTGAATAACAAATCTTCCTATAACGGACTGTTGATTCCCTGTAATAAGCGTTTTGCGTGTTTATTCATTCTATGAACACTCAGTTTAAACTTCATAAACTAGCACTCCAGACGGGATTCAACGTGGCTTTCATCACTAGATATTGCCTATATTTCTTCATCTAAACGTGACTAATAAGTCTACATATAAACAAGCAAAAAACGATTTGAAACATTGTCAGCATTTAAGACATCAATAAAAGTATTGTACCTTGAATAGCCTGAAGGTCTATAACCTGCTGGTAAACTGCTTAATCTTAGTTCGGATAAAGCACGTTCTTTCTCAAATCTTTCAGCTGATAAACTTCTTGATAACCGGTTTGCTTCTCGTTCTGTTTCAGCTAATCGTTCTCTTACTTTTTCTACTTCACGTTGAGCCATTTCAGCTCGCTCTTCCGCACTAGCAATTCTGTCGCGTAAAGCAATCACTTCAGTAGTTCTTTCCTGCAATCAAGAAATTTAATCTAGTCATTATGATTCCTAACAAGTGAAATTATGAAATTTGTGTTCAGTACTGAATAATTTTGTATTATCGATGGTACGATTATGAAGGATGGTATATGTTGCTATAACAATTTAGAATCAACCCATGTGTATTGTGCATAATACCTCAAGTTTTAGATATTTTACATTGCGTAGATTTCATGATAGTATAGAGGTGAAACACTTAATCATTGATGTTAACTAATATTTCGTTACTTTAAATTCGCAGAAATCAGTTCCATGTGTACATCTTTTGAAACAAGTAACCACCACCAGCTTCGATCGTCCCAACCGTGATGTTCCATTTCTGATCAACGTAAATTTCTATTTATTTAGTGCTGCATCTAGTTAGTCATTTTTGTCTTAAGTTTCGAACCCATTTTCTGATCATCACCTTAAATCACTGCCTTGTTAAACAGATTAAACACGTATACGATTTCATTTCCCCATCGAATTCTATATAGATACAACATTGTGCTGGTAAGGAGATAAACCATGTAATGCTCAAGCATCTGAATAGCTTGGTTACAAAGCACTTTCATGGACACTTTCAACAATAAAAGTGACAAAACAAGTACACTGACACAATTATAAAGTACTTTGAAAGCTTTAAGAACAAAGTACCATATGTTTTGCATAATAAATTTTTTTTAATAATCTTAATTTGAGTATCCATTGGACGAATTAAATAAAAACTGAATAGGCTCAGTAGAACTGGATAGGATTTTATTATTCTAATTTGGTCTAAGCAGAGTATTAGTGAATGATGGTAAATCAGTTGATTAGGTTGTGAATCTTCATCGACTGAGATGGTTGGGTCACGTGTCACGTATACCTGAAAACCGATTACCATGACACGCAATGATGACTAGTGTTGGAGATAGTTGGAAGAAAGTTAGGGGCGGCCAAACCAACACGTGGTATCAGTGCTTGAGGTCACTAACTTCCGGTCCGAGCCATGCTGGTAGATGCAGACTATTTGGTTGGGGTCCGCGTGACTATCGTAATCAATGGTTAGAGGCTCTTGGTGACATTGCTTAGAATCAATCACAATGGCGTAGGTGTATACACTCTCTATCTTCCCTTAAACTAAGAGATTAAAATCCCTACATATCTTTCTGTACTGTATTCTTACATAAAATCTTTCTTTTATATATTACACTATTGAGTTAACTGCTTCTATGAATCCGGTGTTCGGCTTGCTGTGCTAATGAGGCGTGGCAACTTGAACCGATGCATATATGTGCCTAGTCCTACGTTGTAACTGATTGACTTAATTTGGTCAAAGCGAGTAATATTAAAGTATTTGAATACAAAGCGTTTTTATTATTTAATTAATTATTTAGTTTAAATGAAAATATGTGAAGGTATATAATTTTTGTATTTTGTCCTATTTAATATTCTGTTTTCATGAAAACAATTTACATTTTATTAGTTGAGATCATGAGTCAACTGAAGCTAGATCACCATGGGAAACCTGGAAGTACTGGACGGCTGTTTCGTCCTATTGTGGGACTCCTCAACAATTTACTTAGTAATAAAATAAGTGATACTTATTAGGTATCTACTTTCTATACAACATACCGGTCTATCTTTTGACAAATTAATTTCTATTTTCTTTTTAGAAAATTTCAGGTTTGATTAACTTTTCATTTTATATCATTGAAATGATGCCTTTTTAAATGAAAATTTGGTCAATTACAACAAATAAATTTAGGGGATAATGATCGAATTCTACAAACTTTAATGGATGGTAGCTAGCAGTAGAATCCAGGACGTGCGTTTCGTCCTATTTTGGACTCATTAGCTAGATGTACTTACATCTAAGAGTTGATGTTCACTCCGAGACTCGGATCCAGTACCATTCGCTTCAAACGCCATCACGTTTTTGACTTAGGTACTGAGTCTAGGTAACCATTAGCTTGTGCAATGAGGTGAAGTTTTAATTTATTTTTTTATTGGTTGTTTGAATCTTCCCATTGATGTCTAGGACTGAAATCGATCAATTTTTTATTGATATATGTACATCCTGTGCGGATTGCTTCAATATTGCCTGAAGTCACAAGCATTATACACCACCATCTATTTCTGCTTATAATGCTTGTGATTTCAGGAAATATCGAAGTAATCCGCACATGATGCACGTATGCTAACAAGAGATTGATCAAGTTCAGTCGTAAACATCAATGAGAAGATTCAAACAACCAATAAAAAATCAATTCAATTAACTTCAAGTTAGTTGAAATCTCTTTATCTCTACACTTCTTAGTTAATGTTTGAGGACATGAGAATCAACCTAATCATCAGTAATCTGTGTTAAAGAATAAAGATCAAAGTAAATCAAAAAATAGTATTAACTTTACCAAACTCACCTGAGCTTCAGATAAAGCTTTTTGTTCTTTTTGTCTTGTAATTGTAAGTATTTCATTAATATTTCTATTATTTTCACGTTCATCTTCTAATTGTTCTTTAATTTGTTCTAATTCTACTTCAAAATCATCTAACTGTGCACGTAATTGATCATTATCTAAACGTTGTGTATTATTTTCACGTTGTACATTGGCTTTTTCTGTTTCACTTCGAGATAATGCATCACGTATTCGTGATATTTCTGTAGAAAGTGTTTCAATTTCTGCTCGAGACATTCTAAGTTGTTCATTAGCTTCAACTAATGATCGTGATGTTGCATTACTCTATAATATAGGGAAAATTAATTTTCTTGAATAATAATTAAATTTGATAAATCATACTTATTTATGAATGATAAATGATGACCTGGTGAACTAATACGGTAACAAGAAAAAAATTGTAATTAGTGACCATAGTCTCACTTAGTTTTCAGATGAGACATAAATATTTCAGAAAACAACACTCAATGCTAACTAATCGACGAAAATTGCACGACATTGCAACATTGTCCACTATTGTTTTCAGTGAGTTAATGCCTAACAACAGACACTGTTGAACTTCACTGGTTACGGCTTCTCAATAGAAATTCAGAAAATACCTTTTGAAGCCAATCCAGTGTTTCTAAGTTTTCCATGGTGGTCTAGCTTTAATCGACTCATGAATTCAAACATTAAATTACTACAATCTCCACAAAACCCCCTTTTTGATAATTGTCAAATTCATTGATACATGCCTTATTTTGGCCTTTGTGAAATATCATAATTATGGACTTATAACTGTAGAGCCTATTGATGATGAAGTCATTGAAAACAATTTTCTGCTCAAATACTCTAGAGATTTTTTAAATTGGTGATAAATAACAGACAAAATGAAATAACCAAGTCAGAACGAGTATGTATATTCCGCAAAAGGCCAGAAGCACGAGTGATAACAACAAACACAAATCAAAACATATATATACAGCACAAAACCGTTCTTGGGAAGCGTTACAAAATAGCATATCAAAAGACACAACGGACCAATAGCGTTTAAGATTCTTTCAAGTGGGAAATATGACATGAAGGTGAAAAAGGCTCTTTTAGCGTAAAAACAAAGAAAATCAAATTTTCTTAATAAAAGTACAAAATTAAGACCTTTTTCAAATGAGTTCTGAGGATTTAACGACCCCAACAAATAATGGATCAATTTAGTGTTGTTCAATAGTTATACACCAAATCACTGTAACTTGAATTGTGTCAGGAATTAAATGGAGGCTATGTGCAATGGTATATACTACCAAAGAGTAGAAAGTTATGTTACATTATTCAGAGTTTGCTAATTTAAAAGATCACAGTCGGAAATTATAACCACTAAATGTTTTGAAATAATCAGTGAAGGCTTTTATGTAGATTACAGATTTTTCGTTGGTTGTAAATCGCAAACATGTTCGTGAATTGGTTAAAATTAGTCATTAACAATGTTGGATGCCTGCGAAGTGGTCTAAAGTCTAAACATTTACACACAACATCTTGGATCCTGGATACATGGTCGTGGATGGGCACTATTAAGGAGCCCTATACCAGAATGAAACATTTATTCAGTTCTTTCAGGTTTCCAATAGTGCTCTAGGGTAGATTGGTTTACAATATAAAATCTATGAAAAGTTTTAAAATTGTCAAGTGACAAGATCTTAAAAGCTAACACTATATAACTATCTTTGATCAATCTATTCGATAGATGAATGTTCCTTCATCGGTTCATTTCAATATAGTTGTAAAAATGGTAGTACTAAGTTTTGATTTCAATTCATTATCTATCTGATATAATTTTATTATTAAGAAATATCTATCAAATATAGTTTGTTATAAATTACAAGGATAAGTGAACTTTTATTCCATAGTATATATGTATAAGTTATATTAACTCACTTGAATTTCAGTTGAATTAAGTGTAGCTCGTAAATGTGATATCTCTCTATCTTTTAAATCTGATCTTTCACGTTCATTAGATAATTCACCTTCTTTATCTTCTAAATCAACTTTACAACTAGTTAATTTATTTTCAGCTGTTTCCCATCTTGTTCTCCAACTTTCAGATTCTTCATTTGCTGTTCTTAATTGATCCATTAATTTACTACATTCACTATCTCTTTCTGATAATACACGTTCTAAACGTGATAGTTCATTTAAATAATCTTTCATTCGTTGTTTTAATTCATCTCTTTCATCACCTACATCCTATAAAAGCATATTTATATATATATATATCCATAGAATGAGGAATGTTATTAGACTACTTTAAACACATAAATATTAGTTACTAGACCGAAAAAAATCGAATGATAGCAAAACTACAATTTATAAACGACCTTTGAGTAACCTTGAGAGTGTTCATCTAATAACTAGGACCAAATGAAGGTTATAAATCAGTGTAAGGAATTGGAATTATGATTTACAATTGATGGTTAAAGTTAGGAATTAGATTTAGAGTTTTCATCACGAATTGACATCAGCTATAATGTCAAAACTCTATTTAGTCAAATGGATGAGTGAATTTCGTGCCGAAATTCGAGACCTGTTATCTTATACCTGATTGGTTCGTCCATAAATTATAGTCCTACCCAAATGATTGCTCAATAAAATTATTTATTACAAGTTATACTACTACATAGTAGCTCATACATATTTTACAAATGTTTTTTGAGGGGTTATGGTAATACATCGTGATACCTTGTATTTCATTGACGAACAAAGTATGAATAGCAAAATAAATTTCAGTCTAACTGATAGTTACTTGATTACATTAGGATTTTCTTTAACGAAACGAAATTACATGTATTATTAAGGGTGAATTTAGTGAAAATAGATTGATTTCCATTTTCTGTCGTACCTTTCACTACTCTAATCAGTTTGAGTAAGTCTCTCTACACAAATTTTTAAAAGCTTCTTACAGGATTAGTTTGCTAATCTACATTAGTTAAAAAGTATCTAACTAAACATTGAATAATCTCATGCCTATTTGACTATCCTTTGAATGGGATTTTACGAGAGAAACCATACAAAGCTTGTGACTTAATGTAATATCAAGACAGTCCGCAGAACATGCACATATACCAGGAATTGCAGTCCTACACAACAACGGGAAGATACAAGTAAACAATACCAAGTGTATTGAAACCAAATAGTGCTTTTGATAACATCTTAATGTATTCATTATAGGGATATTTTGACTTATTTACTATTATTTAAAGTTACTTTATGAGCCTAATATACTGCTACATGTTTTTTTAACGTACTATGCTTTGGTTTTCTTCCAAATTCAGTTGTCGCTTTTAGGTTCTTTTTTCATATTCTTGGACAATATATTAATGGAAGTTCTTATCGACCAGCTAGTCACATGTTCACTTATAAATAGCAACTGATCGTGGCAGTCTATGAGAAATCACAAAAGTCCTCTTGTGACAATCACAGAGGAATCAGTTTGACTAATGTAGTGTCTAAAATATTAGCTTCAATAATACTTCGACGCCTAATCAAACCTCATGAAGAGCAAACTAGAGAAAACCAGGCTGGTTTTCGACCTGGACATGGTTGTATAGACCAGATATTTACACTACGTCAGGTCCTAGAACAGAGACACACATTCAGACACCCCACAATCGTAGTATTTTTCGACCTTAAGACAAAATTTTACCCCGTTGATCGTGAGGTTCTATGGCAGTGTTTGTCACTGAAAGGAGTACCAAAGAAGTACATTAACCTTATAAAGGCTCTCTACTCGAACACAACTGGTAGAGTGAGAGCTTATGGCGAACTGTCATCAGAATTGATTACCTCAAGTGGTGTTCGTCAGGGCTGTCCACTCTCCCCATTCTTGTTCAACTTTGTGGTCGACGTACTTTTAGAGATAACACTTTCCTCGTCTAGATTTCCAGGGGTTAAACTTCTACCAGGAGGTTCACTTGTTGACTTAGAATATGCAGATGACATAGTTTTATTTGGTGAAGACGCTGACAAAATCCAGAGTCTTCTAACCAGTCTAAGCAACAATGCAAGCATATTCGGGATGCGATTCTCCCCCTCGAAATGTAAAATGTTGCTTCAGGATTGGGTTGCATCGACACCCGAACTAGTGATAGGGAGTGAAGTAGTTGAGTGTGTCGACCGCTTCACTTATCTTGGAAGTCTCATCAGCCCTTGTGGTCTGGTGTGTGACTAAATCTCAGCACGGATACAGAAGGCTCGACTAGCTTTCAACAACCTGCGTCAGTTATGGCGTAGACGAGATATCCGTCTATCAACCAAAGGACGGGTTCACTGTGCAGCAGTTCGTTCCGTCCTACTTTATGGCAGTGAAACATGGCCGGTAAGAGTAGAGGATATTCGTAGGCTACTAGTATTTGATCATAGGTGTCTTCGAAATATTGCTCGTATATCATGGGACCATCGAGTAAGTAACACAGTTGTTAGGAAACGGGTACTAGGTAAGGATGGCAAATCAGTTGGTGAAGTGGTAAAACTTTATCAATTGAGATGGCTAGGAGATGTGATACGTCTGCCCAACCACCGACTGCCCCGACATGTGATGTTTTATTGTGTAGGAGTAGGTTGGAAGAAAGCTAGGGGCGGCCAGACCAAAACATGGCACAAATCCATGGAGTCACTGACAATTGGACTGAGTTAGTTGGTAGGTGTAGACTACCTGGTTGGGATCCGCGAGATGATAGTAACCGATGGTTAGAGACCTTGAATGACATGGCTCAAAATCGTTTGCAATGGCGCAGGTGCATCTACTCTTTGTGTTCTCCCGAATTCTAATATTCTGAATTCTCCTTGTCTCTTTTTTTCTCTTTCCAAATTTATTTCACTGGGTTATACTCCTTGAATAGCATCTTCAAACCCTAATGTTTCCGATTACTGCTTATACTCTTACTACTTCTACCACAGTGAGATTTGAATCGACAATTGTATGTGTGTGCTAGTGTGATATGGCAACTCGAACTGATGTACGTACGTACGAAGTTCTACGTTGTTACTGACTGACTGAGCAACAGTTTTAAAAATTAAACCGCTACAATTAATAATAAAAGATTATCTTTATTAATAAATTTAACGATAATCATAGCTCAGTAATGTTGTCTGGAACAGTCTAAACTTTGAAGTTATGATCTCTAGATTTTTAGCTCTAGTACGTATACCAATATCGAGGCAATTAATTTTGTTAACTATTCTTCAAAATGTACAACTGCCTCATCCTAAACCATTCTACAAGGCTTTTTCTAAAAATCATTCAACTTGTATATGTGAGGAATAACAAGATGCTTTTTTATTAGAATTTATATACTAACATAGATTGATGAATAAAGCGTAAATATAACACTTTATGTTTGATGGTAAATTATAGTTAATTTATATAAGTAATGAAAGATAGTAATCATTCCATGAATATTTAGACAGAAACTACACTTGGACGAATATTAATACTGCAAAAAACATTCACATATTTACAGATTTAGTTAACAATATTATTTTTGTTCCTAAATGCCCTGATACGGCCGAGGGTGGCGGGAGTTAGTTCTCACTCTCAAAATGCTCTCACATGGCTACGCGTATATAATCATTGTCAGGGAAGTTCTGCTCACTGCCTTCTCGTGGCGGGGAGGACGAAAAGAGAATGTCTGGCGCTTTAACCGAGTTGGTGGATATAGAGGGTCCACCTAGGGGAGTTGTAAAACCCTGATTCCAAACCAATGGTGCATATGAGCTCCAGGATCCTGAGGGAAAAATTTTCGTATGAACCTGTCGTTGGTCACCAGCTACCATGGAACTGCATCTCCTCACGATGCTCCACTGGCTTGTGGATCAGATCTTTAGATCAAATGCTCCAGGTGTGGCCCTTCAGGAAAACCACCTGTTTCGGTCTGGACACCCAGGTAGTATCACAGCCCATACACAAATCAAGTGACATATGTGGCGCATATGTACATGGTACCTCTATGTACCAATATTTATATGTTCAAATAAATAATAAATCAATAATTAATTAATATTATTTGAGTCTTCTACCTTTGCAGAAATGGCCTTTATTTTCATTATGATTTCATGGAACTGTTTCATTCTTTGTTTATAGATATATATAGAGTCAACATAATAACACTCAATCAGATCGAATATGTAGTTATGGTAAGTTATTTTTAATAAATGTACTTGTCTATTTCTTGACTCATAATAAACTAATCACATCACTCATTGAAAGATTGACCAACAAAATCATGACATTGTATAATAATATGACTGTAAATGGAAAGGTTAGTTGAAACAGTTTTTAGTATACGTAAAATAACATCTATTTACCTACATTTAGTAAATTTGGTTATAAATACATTACCTGTAAGTCTGTTTGTAATGTTTGTGATTCCCTTGCCATATGATTTAAATCTTCTCTTAATCTTGATGTTTCACGTTGTTCTGATTCTAATAGTCGACGTGTTTCAGATAAACTTGTTTGTATTGAATTTAATTCAGTTCTAGCTGCTGTTAATTCATTATTACGTGTAGATAAAGCTTCTTGTGTACGTGTATTTGTACGTACAGCTTCTTCATGTGCTGATCGTATATCATGAATTTCACGTAGTCTACTTGATAAATCAACTTCCGTATGTGATAATCTTTGAGATGTTTCCTTTAAATTAATCTAATGTATTAAAATATAATTAATCAATTTTTTTTAGGAGAAAAACTGTTGTACAACTCAATTTTAAAGTGAAATAACCAGATGAGAATTGGTTAAACTTTGAAAGTTCTAAACAAAATAGCAAATGTAACTTAGTAGTTTTTGTACAGTTAAGTACTCTGTTGTATGGGAAATGAAGATTTCAGTTGAATATAATAAGCAAGATAACTAGACTTCTTAATAAAGGTCAATATTTTAACTTTATTTCACTATACATAGCTGATTTATAAATTTAAGACTGGGGTAGGAATTTCGGTGAGACTATAATTTATGGACGACCTATGAGTGACGCTAAAGTAACCTTGAAAGTGTTCATCTAATAACTGGGACCAAATGAAGGTTATGAATCAGTGTAAGGAATTGGAATTATGATTTACAATTGATGGTTAAGGTTAGGAATTAGATTTAGAGTTTTCATCACGAATTGACATCAGCTATAGTGTCAAAACTCTATTTAGTCAAATGGATGAGTGAATTTCGTGCCAAAATCGGAGACCTGTTATCTTATACCTGATCGGTTCGTCCATAAATTATAGTCTCGCTGAAAAGTTTTTAAAATTAAGTACTATGATAAGAAAATTCTAACTACAAACATGTTATCAAATAAAGACAATCACTATGACTTTTTACTGACCATATATCTGACTCCAATTAGATCGTATTAATGTTATTGATTGTTATTGAAACATACATATCGCCAATACTTGTATATAATCATCGACTTAATCTGCTCTAGTGTATAACTGAATTAAATAAACCGAATACGAGAATAGATTTTTGAATACAGATATTTTGTACACTCATGGATCTGGATAGGAAATGAGAGGAATAAAGCCAATAGAAGTGAAAGAAGGGAAATGACGCGCGGTGGAGAAGGCGTGTGAGCCAACTTCATTTAATCAAGCGTTAACCCATATTTATAGTCACACAAAAATAAACTACAGACATGTGATGAGTATGATAAAATGTACACACACGCTCATATAAAAAGTCAGGGTTGATAGGTGAATAATTAACAAGGTCAAAACGTGGCTCAAGAAGTACGGATAAATTGGCCTGTCCGGAAAATAGAATAAGGTATATAGTCTTAACATAGTAACCAATAGTACGAATTACTTAATATTGAAAAAGAGATTCTTTTTAAAGAGAGTTTCATCGATTTTGTAGGTCTGTGATAGCAATGATCTATAAACGTGAATAAATAACTAGAGTTTATAATGAACCTTGGTCATGAGAAAATTTAAAGAATCATACTGTCAGACTACCAATTAAGTAATAAACCCACTAAACCACAAAATGCCACTACTGATCATGTTTTAATTATCATCGTAGCTCAAAGTTCAGTTGTAATGGAAAAGAAATACATACATTTGAATTGATATTAACTAACTAGTGAATATAAACGATAGTGTGAAGACGGCTACTGGTGAACTTAAATAAACTCTGAAAAAGTTGAGGACATTCCATACAATCATCGTTTAGAAGATTTCAGAGTCTCAACATGTAGCTTCCCGATTGGACATATTCAAAAAACTACTGTATGCCGATTGGATGATTGTAATAATGATTTCTTTTTTACTAAACACTATAAATACCCTAGTGCTTTGTACCATATTTGACTGGCTGGAATAAAATTTCCTTTCCACTCGTCTTCTGTCTTCTAACTTATAACTTGGAGGGTTCAGTCTTTAGGGTGTTCAACTTGTACGCGGTATAGCAAAACTTCAAGTTCTAGATATAACAGATAGCCGCATCGATAATTGTTTCTTGTCTTTTTGCTGACGTATCAGTCAGTCATTATTGAAAATAATAAGATTGATGAGTACAATAGAGTGGAAGCCTTAACTTTCCTATCAAGTGTAATCGCTAACCTCCTTTATGGTATTTTAAACTAATCATTTCCACTTGAGGAAAATTTAAAGTAAAATAATACTCTAAAATACCTGTACATACTGAGATTATGTCATATTGAAAAGGTAAATGATAAATGATAAAATATAGTTGAAGCACTTCCTGTTACTCATGACAACATGTAATAAACGGTTAATTTAAGAAGTGCTAGTTTTAGAAATTCTTACTGATACGCTTAAAAATATTTCTAAAATAACAGTGCACACTGACATCATACAACTATGATCATCTTGAATAGAAATTGAATGTTAAATGCATGTTTTGGAAATCACGATATCGACGGGATATCATTGTTCAACAATAATGATTGAATATGGATCTCGTAAGTTCTAGTATCCGTTAGAACATATCAATGTTTATACTGACATTTCTTTGATGTAAGTTCACACACTATATCTATTGTGTGAATATTAGAAAAACACCGACTTGGCACCAGAGCTCAAGTATGTACAGCTGAGTTGAGGATGGTTAAATCAACAGGCTCTGTCTGTGCCCTTACTCTTTGGCTGATTTTATTTCTTGCATTCAGTTGAGATTCAAAACTATACGTCATATGCTTCATTCGAACAGCTAAATAACTTGTAAAATGTGTAACTGAAACATCGAGTACTTGAGCTTTCATTCGTATACAATATTTGTAGTTTACATTCTTTCTATACCCCACCAATTAATAAAAATATTTTTAAATTACCTCCAAATTTTGTTTTTCTTCCTCTAACATTTCCATTCTTGATCTCAATTGACTGTAATCATCTCTTTCTACGCGTAATTCTCTTTCTAATTGTACAACACGTGTTTCAGATTTATGCAATTGATCTTCTGCCAAACGTACACGTGAACTCCAATCATTTGCGTCTCTTTCAGCTGTTTCTGATCTTCGTCTGCATAATTCTAACTGCTGCTGAAGATCAGCAATTGTATTTCTTTCTGCCTAATTTATAGAAAGAAAACAAATCTGATAGTGATTGTTAAGGATTTTAAAATAATGGTCTATTACATTAAATAATAACTGATGAAGGTATCTACTTCAGTACAATAGAAGATGGTCGCGAAATTTCGCGGATTTGTTGAGATTAGACAGTAACACCGTTGGATGCCGACTCAGTGGTCTAGAGGTTAGGCGTTCGCGCGCGAGACTGAAGGCAGTGGTTTGTAACCCCGTTGGCGGGATCGTGGATGAGCACTGCTGCGGAGTTCCATAATAGAACGAAATGGCCGTCCAATGCTTTACAGGTTTCCAACGGTGGTCTAGCATCAAAAGCTTCATAATCTCAATAAAAAACGTAATAATTTCCACAACCTTATACTGATAACTAATATATAATCATCGAAACCGTTTTTAAATTTATGATCGAGTATATGAATTCGATATACTTAAACTGTATAGCATACCATACCATAGTATGACATTCAAAATCCCTTTCGTATGTCGTACGACGTACAGTTTCTACTATTTACAAAAGTTGATGAGTTCCAGAATCAACGTAAAAGTCCTTTATAATATCTTTGAAATTAATCGTTTTTAAATAAAAAGAAATGAATAACTTACTCGTAACGCTTCTGCATTACGTTTCACTTCCAAATCTAATTTTTTATTTTCTGCATCAAGTTCAATATTTCGTTCATGAAGACCATTGGAACGTTGAACTAAATCTTCACGTTCTCTTAATGATTGTCTATGCGCTGAACTCATTTCTTCAATACATGATTCTAAATGAACTTTATCTTTATTAGCCAATTCAACTGTTGCCTATAAAATGTTAAATACGAAAAGGAAAAAAGTATTTACTATATATATTTTTTAATTGTTGGTGTAAATGCTTTCTACTTAGTAAATTATAATCAGAAGGGGTTTGTGGAGAATTTAGAAATTTCAATGATTGAAATCATGAGTTAATTGAAGCTAGACCATCATGAAAAACCTGGAAGCAGTGGACGGCCGTTTCGTCCTAGTATGGGACTCCTCAGCAATGCGCATCCACGATCCCACGCATCGCGGGATCCGAACCCAGGACCTATCAGTCTCGCGCCAAGCGCTTAACCAACTAGATCACTGAATCGGCATCCAACGGTGTTGATGTCTAACTTCATTCAATCCACGAAGTTGCGCCACCGTATTCCATTGTCTTCAGTGAGCTGATGTCTCACAACAGACCTGGTTGAACTCCATTGGTAACGGCTTCTCACTAGAACTCCAGAAGTATCTCTTGAAGTCAGTCACTAGTGAGCAGATGATTATCATCAGTGCTTCGAGGTTTTCCATAGTGGTCTAGCTTCAATTGACTCATGATTTCAATCTTAGTAAATTATAGTTATAATATGAATACATTATATGAACTACCTGTACGATAAATTGAGATACAATTTAGAATAATGAATGATATTTCTTTTTACAAAACTTCACTGAACAATAAATCTGTGTCAGATTTCTAGTAACGACCCAGATTCTAATAAGTCACTAAAACTATCTTATCCTATTAATAAACACTATTTCATCATTGATAAATAACTTGGCAATAGATTGATGCAAAGTTTTGTGTAAGGCAGTGATGAATAGAATTGAAAAGTATCGAGAGTATGAATAGTACTATCGATAACAATAAATGATTACTACATCAAGTCGTATTTAAAGTAAAACCTGTAGATTACTAGTGACATTGTGGATTGGTTGAAGTTAGATATTAACACCGTTAGATGCCAACTCAGTGGTCTAGTTGGTTAAGCGCTTGGCGCGAGACTGATAGGTCCTGGGTTCGGATCTCGCGATGTGCGGGATCGTGGATGCGCATTGCTGAGAAGTCCCATACTAGGACGAGACGGCCGTCCAGTGCTTCCAGGTTTTCCATGGTGGTCTAGCTTCAATTGACTCATGATTTCAACCAGTGTAATAAGATTTTACTTTTAGAGTTATAAAAAGATGATATCTCTTAATTGTGAAAGATTTTCATTGTTATCAAAATATTGAATAAGATTATAGAATGTTATCTATACAGTTTTATGTATGGAAGATTAATCATGCGATAACCTCATTATGAAAATGTAGTTATATCATCTATGCAGTCACTTATGTTTTCTATTCGAAATATACAACAGTTCAAGTTTAATAGTATAAACATTTTATAGACCAAAATTAAATCTTTGCTAATGTTGTATTATGTAACTGATAAGTGATCATCTTTTAGTTATTTACCATTCATATGAAATTTGACTAGATGCTTTTTCTCCTACTCATTTTGAAATTCTCATAAAATGTATGACAACATGATTTTCATTTATAAGAAACGTTTCTATGAAAAACAATAACTTTATTTTAATGAACATTTCTTTTTGTTAGAGTTTTGTTCTTTGAACTGGATGGCTTTGGTCGTGAAGTTTTCATTGTTCTTCTGAACAATATCATCAGTACAAAATTCAGGTAGAAGAAGAACAATGTAAGCTCCATAACCAAACCATCCAATTCAAAGAACAAAACTTCATCAAAATCACCCACCAGAGTTATAAATCTTCTCCACCATCTTATGAACATCTCTATTTACTAAATTATCTAACATATTCATCACATACACACGGTAACATCATAAATTACCCATATATCTCTCGAGGTGAGAGTAAAAGTTATTCTGCTTTTTTTATCATGCAAGTTATCTTTGGATAACGAAAATTTAAAAAAAAAGAACAAAGTGTGAAGATAAAGACATTTACCGTACACATTGAAAGCTAATATGCTGTGCATAAATCATAACAGTAGTGATGAAGCAGTGTATTGTTATATTAAAATGTTTAGTGTAAATAAAGTGCTTTATTTAATCATGTGCAACATCAAATCTATCAAATTTAAATGAATTTTATGGTGCTTGATTAGAACACAAAAGCTGTAACATTAAAGTAAGATATACAATAACTGAAATACTAGACATGCAAATTATATATATATTGTCAACGTGTCATTTATTTCAGTGGAGTTGGGCCAACGTTAAGATTGGTTATTGAGTGATTGGAAAAAGTTAATAAGAAACCCTGAACCTAGGTATCATGTTAGTTGAAACTAATGAAACCTGGAACGGGCTGATTTGACCTGACAGATTAGAATACGGATCAAGTAGTTTCATAAACGGAAACTTTATTATTGAAATATTTGCAGGATGATTGATTTATTTCAGGACCAATATATTTGCATTATCAATTATATAATTTGATTAATACACTTAGAGAAACATGATATTAGATACTTCTCAGTGATTATTCATTGTAGGGTTTTGTAAACAATGTTTGTAAAGAAGGAAGTCATACAAAGCTGTTGGATAATATTTTTTCTTAATTCAATAAGCTCAAGAAAATCCTAATGGTCATACCAGTTTTCGAATATTACAATAGTTCTAAACAGTGATGTATAAGTGTGTAATTAATAACAGTTACTTATCTAATGAATACGTGGGAAGCGTTAGAAAAAACACTTCAAAGTTCACAAAGTTGTCTCATGCTCTAGACTGATAGGTCCTGGGTTCGAATCCCGCGGGCGGCATCGTGAATAAGTACTACTGAGGAGTCCCATACTAGGACGAAACGACCGTTCAGTGCTTTCAGATTTCCCATAATGGTTTAGCTTTAATTGACTCATGAATTCAACTATTAAATTACTAAAATCTCCACAAAATTCCCTTCTGTAAATAATAAACAGTAATAATTCATGTTATCATTTTACGAATCGTATTAAACAGAATGATCTGTATATAAAAGAATAATTTTCTTGGTTGAATTTTAATGATAAATCAATTGTCATTTGTGTTATAATAAATAAAAATGTTTTGATTTCTGCTTGAACTTTAAATTATAATTCTTTAGGGAATACAATCATTATTCGATTAGTAATTGTACATCGTTTATTCCTTAGTGTCAGTACATACATTGTGAAAATCATCAAACTGTATCATCAGGCAAGCCTTAAATTGAAATCCGGAAGGTAAAAGGTAAGGAGGTAGACCAAAGAACAAATTGCTCAAGGAATTGAAGATAGATATAAAAAATCAGTAGTAATTGGAAACAACTGGAAAGGATTACCTAAGACAGAGTTGGCTGGACAATCCTGGTCGACAGCTTATGCTGCACTAGGAGTAACAAGGCTAAGTATGTTGGTGTCAGTAAATTGAATCTACAATTTTACATTTAGTGATGAACCTTGTTGGATCGGAATTCGTATCACTTCGAACCATGGTTACATACTCTGCCATTTAACAATTAAGGTCTATACTGACCTTCCGTATGACTGAAATGTTTAATCTAATAAGATATTTAATGGTCGCTAATGTCATTTTCTTATTATTGACAGACTCTGTCGACCAACTTTCTATGCATATGACACAATAGTCGTTAATATTCTTTGAGAAATTGAATCAATTAAGACATGATTATTAGATCAACCCTAACCAATGATAGGTTATATGGGCAGGTGTCTGGAAATGTTGACATAGAATTCCAAAAGTCAGTTAACTAGATTACCTAGCAAATATTCAGCTATAAGGCGTTAAGTCACAATGTAGAGGCTTTACTCATATTTCCTTAAAGTATGTCCTGAACTTAATGTAAAACTGATTGTCAAGTTTTCTAGCCGTTTACAAACTCTATCAAACTACTCGACAAATTAATCAATTAACTATGATTAAACAGAGACACTGTGGTACGTGCTACTTAAATTGATATAAGTAGTATATAACGCGATTTAAAGAACGTAATGTCTGGCAGCAGAAGATGAGGGAAGATCAAGAAAGGAAGAGCGAGAACACAATGGAATTTGTAAGAAACCGCATGAACAATGTGAGACAATGGATTGATGTTTGCAATGGCAACAGTCCGGTTTGATATGATGGAATGATATTTTGCAAATTAACGACTTACTATTTGGGTTTTCTATTTTACCAAGTAACTCTGTAATTTTGTGCTAAATACATCCGGTTGTCCCCACCCGTGTTCTGTTCACTACAACACTTTATAAAGGTTTATGTCGAGAACTGTTTCAATGTCATAACGAAATTTTATCATCAGAGAAAATGATTTTAGCAGTTCACTTTTCCGTGTTATAGATTAGATAATGAGACGAACTTATCATGCCTCAACATGATCAGATGCCGATTGGGTAAACTTATGAACCATCATATGAAATTACATGGTCCTGAAGTCTTTCCACTATTGAATTGAAGTTCATAGCAAAAAACAATTCTCATTTCTAAAGACAAATATTTTACAGATAACAAACATAAAATATAATCACACACTCTTAGTGATTCATTATCAGCTGTCAATTTTTCATTAGTTTCTGACATCCATTTATTTTCATCTTTTTGGGTAGATAATTGTTGTTCCAATTGATCTATATGTGATCTTAATTCCTCTGTTTGTTGTTCCAACCAATTAGCTCTTCGATCAATTGAATTTTTATTATGAATAGCTGTGTCTATACGTTGTTGTAATTTTTCATTCGCCTCACGTTCAAGCTTTAAATATACGAGAAAAAATAAGATAAAATTTTTCGTTGTAAGAACATAGAATGGACTGATTAGCTTCTGATAAGTCTTCCAAATTGAACGCTATATCCGCTCCTAAGCTATTCTGGAAACCCACAAGCTAGAACTGCATGGCGACCTGAACACCAGAGAGAAGACTCAAAGTATGAGAGAAATACTTTACTACAAGGTTCGTTTTTGTACAGAAAACACGGGTACTTATAGATGTTAGCGTTTGTTAAATCAACATCAT